TAAATTTTTGGCAGTGTAGTGGCATCCTTTATCAAGGGGACCATACCTCATTCAAGAGATTCCATGACTCAAATCAGGGAATTGATTGAAGAGCTGTGACTCTGTATTTATGATTCAATTTCAACTTTTTTTCCCACTTGACCTAGAACCCTTCCACTTACACAGATTTAATAAGAATTTAGTAGACTTCCCATCTATTTCACATCTTGGAATACCATAACCAACTAGCCAACACCATAGTTCTCTGTGAGTCAGACTATTTTGATTGCTGCTTTGTGCTGTCCATTACAGTAACAATGCCCTCCTTTCCTTTGGCAATTAAGTATCACCACCTGGTCCTTGCCAGCCCACATTCAGTTTAATGCATTGTATTTAGGTTTCCCAATTCAGAGACAGCAGTCCCCACTACAAGTTTTGAACTATAGAGAAGAGTGATTACAGAGCTTTTCAAGGATGCTGGGATTCCGCCTCACAAATTTTTTTCTCACAGTAATGGTGAAAGTTGTGTTCTTTAGATACCCCTGGGGTAGATGAGCAGATCTTAAATGATACATCCACTCTAACATTCCAATTCCCTAAAGCCTTTTTACCCTGTCCTCTACAGTATAGCAAAAATAAGTTTGGCATTTTAACCTAATTTAGTGTAGGCCACCTATTGTCCATCTTTCTGCCAACCAACAAAACAGATGGTGGTAGCTCTTTTCTAATACTCCAAGCTGCAACATTAAATGCAATGTAATGTAATCTGTGCATAGTAGGCCCCTATCAATGAATTTGGCCTGACCCAAGTTTATGTTCCATCCATCATTATACCACAGTCTTAATAGCCATTTCCACACATATTCCCAGGATTATTATATGTATAAGTTGGAAAAATTATGTCGTTTTAGAATGTGGTTCAGTCAGGCACACAAACACCACACCTTTCCAGGCCTGCTGCTTTCCAGGACTTGGATCCAATTATAGATCTAGAAGCATACAGAAATGTTGGGAGTAGATTCTGAAAAGAGGCAGCAGTGTCTTGCAAGGCAACTACCTCAGTGGAGGCCATTATCATTTCTTCAGACACATCTTGGACAAAAAGCCTTCAGGCAACTAAGAAGCCCCAATAGGAATTTGATAGCTTCATTCTCTCACTTGCTAGATCTCTGGTACCTCTTCTCACATTCCATTGACATTTCAATTGTTTATTTCAAAAGCAAGTTCTCCCCCTCATTTTCTGCCACTTTTGATGCTTATTTTAATTACTTTTAATAGCTTTCAGTGAATTGCACAATCCCAAATGTTTTTCAGAGATAATCTCCAGTCCCTTTGCAGACACTGTCACTGCTCTTTCAGGTGAAATGATAATTACTCTCCAGGAAGGAGATGGAAACCCAAACCTTTATCTGAGGCTTATTATGTCCCATCTATGCACTTGCACAGACTCCGACACAGCAGTCCTTGTTCTGAGAGCAAATCCAAGTTTGGTATATAGCTTCAGGTAAGTATCAAATTCTTATAAATTATTTCTCTCAGGAAATTCAAGATTAACTATTTTAAATAGATCTGGCTTTCTGAGGTTGGGACAAAAAATATCTTCTATAGATGATGTAGATAGATATCCATAAGCCCAGATACATACAAATAGACAAGACATTTGCTTAGGAAACTAGAGGCATATTGTCACTCTTGTCAACCCATTTTATAGCAGCCTGACACATTTTCTCCATTGATCATGATGAAAACAACTAAAATAAGTTTGTGAAAAAATGTAGATATTACTTCTCTTAATACAAAATTAACTACTCTGAAAATAAACAGTGTTTAGATTCTAAAAAATGCTACTGAGGTAAAAGAGGTAAGTCAAAGTGGATGAGTTTAAAAAATAAATGTTGTAAACTTGTACTCAGAAAAGGAACAAAGTGTCTTCTAATTTTAAGGCCACCTTAGTGAGCCCTGATTTCTAAATCATATTTGATTAATTATGATGGTTTGCAATATGAAGGAAAAATATAAATTTTGTGTGAGATAATTCTGAAATATAACAGTATTTTGTAAATTAATATATATTAGGGTTGAAAACAATAGAGCAGCATTTTAAATTTCATTGGTATTTTTCTCGCCAATTTTGAGACAAATATGTCTTAGAAGTACTTGAATGTGTCTGTTAAGCATGGCCTGTTCATCATGTACGTTACCATTATTTTTTGTTTTTTAGTAATTTAATTAGTACTGTTATTGAAGTTATTGTTGAAAGTTTTCTCTTATATGTTCTAATTTAACATTAGGGGTTTATTTTGTTTGTTTAATATAATTTCTATGAATAGTACTACTTTATTATTATGATATAATATGTCCTCTGGTTTGGACTATATGTAGCAATGATTATGAAAATACTACCCAATATTTTTACTTAGGAGATCTGACATTCTTTATATTTTAGATCCAGCATGCTATTTAGCTCTAATTATGAGCTCAAAATTTACCTCTATTTTATTTTATTTATTTTAGCTTTAGTTTTTTGCTTTGGTTTTTAAAAAGTTTTATTTTTCTTTACCTCTATTTTATTTAAATAGTGGCACTAATATTTTATTTATTTATTTTGCTTTTGTTTCTTTTCTTTTTTCTCTCTCTCTTTGTTCTTAATTTGGTACTAATATTTTAATACCATGTAATACATAAATAGTTTTCCAATAAATTTTAAATTTGTATTCATCAGGAAAATAATATGTACATATATGTGTATACGATTTGTTGTAGCTGCTTCCTGTTCTGTGCCAGAAACTTGTCTATTTTTTTTTTTCCTTTTTGTCTTTTTTTACTGACTGGTAACGGGATCGCAACCCTCGGTGTTGCACCCACACCGCGCTCAGCCAGTTAGCGGGAACCGGTCTCCACATGGGATCCAAACCCTCGGCAGGAGCGCTGCCACACTCCCAAGTGGCGCACTCTCCAGTGCGCCACCGGGCCGGCCCCGAAACTTGTCTATTTTTTCATTTTCAGCCTAAAGCATTTAGTACCCATTGTCTTCATTTCATTTTACTTCTTACTTATTTTTGTAATTTTGATATTTTATAATCAATTGGGAAATGTTAGGAATGTTACCATTTAGATTAGAATTACTTTAAATAAAATATTTTGTAAAAATGTGTTTACGTATACTATCTTGGGCTATAGTTAGAGCTAATATTTATTTCTGATGTTCATATTTCTATAGAGTTTTAAAATTTGCTTCAATTTTCTTCAAAATTATCTGATTTTAGGGTTATTTTTACCAAATTTTATTTAATAGGCTTGTTTTTTTAAAAAATGTATAAATACCAGTGGATTTGGCCAATACATGATTTGGAAGGGACATCAGGGTATTTTTGCAGAAACTTTTGCCTTGTATATATACCCCTTAGATTTTTAAAGATTGAAATGTTTATTGTAAAAAATGGCAATTCACATAGGTTTGTAAGAAATAATATAGACAGATTCCATGTAAATTATACTCAATTCCCCCTGTGGTAACATTTTGCAAGGCTATATTATAATATCAAAACAAGAATATTACCATTGGTAACTATTGTTATTAGCTTCTTCTAGATACACTCAGGTGTGTGTGTATGTTTATCCCCCTTGGTTTTAAAGCCACATGAAGGATTTTTCTTTGAATTGGCCATCAGCTCGACACAATCATTCACACTTCTTATCTCATTTTACTTTTGATTTTATGAATTTTAAAATTTCATTTTGACATAACAGTATTTAAACATTAAATAAAATACTTATACAAAGTCAAAACTATAACTCAAGGAAATTCCATAAATTGTTATTACTGTCTTTTTAACCTGTCAAATTCTCTGTCCTTATTCTTATACTCTTTTACTTGCCTAAAAACCATAGCAGATTTTGTATGCTATTTTGGATCATAGTTTTTCAACTAAGAATATACCATGGAGAAAATTCTATAGAGTAAGTTCTGCTATAATGCAAGATATGTGTTCCTGAAAACCATCAAGCTGTGCAAAATCCAATAAAAAATCACATGGCTTATTAGGACATTCAAAAATGTCATTAGTGAGACATAGTAAAAGTAGCTAGAAGCCTACTAAATATGGTAGCACAGTTCTACGCATGTTAAAAGTTTGAGCAACACCTAAGTAGTATACAAAATATGGCACTTTATCTTAAAAAGCCTGAAGTTTGCTTGTGGAAGTAGATGTTGGAAAGGTTGCAGCTTGTGAATTAATGTGAAATGGTGACCCCTGACATCTACACCCAGCCTGGCAATGACGAAGCCACCGCTGGAAGCCCCCCACTCTTCTCTGCAGGAATGGGGGGAGTGCCACAGGCCTCAATCCTGCTCCTCCTTCTTCCATCACATTTCCTTCCCCTTTGCCCTCTCCTCCTCTCTCCCAACTGCTCTACAACAACATCATAGAATGTAAAAAAATATGTAAAATTAAATTTAAAAAAATTTTTTTAAATGTAAAATGGTGAAAGGAGGTGACCTAAAGTCAGATGGAAGGTTGTATTACCAGATGTGAATGAGTTTGGTTCATACCACATGGTGAACTGGGTAGCTGGTAGATATTTGAGTTTTTGCTTGTGTGTGTTTTTATATTCCAACATATTTCAGCTGGGTGCAGTTTACTACATTCATCTGGTTTTTCTTGCAGATGAAACACCCATAAGCAAACACAGAATTTGCTTCATGCTCAAAATGTTTCCTAATTTCTCAATCATATTGTGAAAACTTCTGAAACAATACCGATTGGGTCAGTATACAGACTCATCTCTATAGCTGGAGAGATCTTTTGTGCAGTTGTGCTCTCATTCATTTACCCAGACTTTTCTAGCTAGACACTGAGGTTATTTCCAATGCAGTTCTTCAGTGAATTGCCTTTGCACAAATAAGCATTAAATGCTCATGCCTTCTTAACATGAAAAAATATGATTAGGATCAATTAGGATGAATTAGCACATAAAAGTACTCTCTATAGTGATGGTAAGACATTTATTTTGGCTTTTTTTCTATTGATTCTTCAGACTTCAATCAAAGTCAACACCCCTTAGGTACTGATGAAATGGATGCTGGAAAATTGGAATTGGGGATCATCTTCCTCATTCAGACTGGAGTTGGGATCCTTGGGAATTCTTCCCTCCTTTGTCTTTACAACTTCTCTCTGCTCACTGGATACAAGTGGAGACCCACAGATGTAATTCTTAGCCAACTCGTCCTAGCCAACTCCTTGGTCCTTTTCTCCAAAGGGATCCCTCAAACAATGGCAGCTTTTGGATTGAAAAATTTCCTAAATAGTGCTGGATGTAAAGTTGTTTTTTATTATTACAGAGTGGGCACAGGTGTTTCCTTTAGTAATATTTGCCTTCTAAATGGCTTCCAGGCCATTATGCTTAACCCAAGTATATGCAGGCGGATGGAGCACAAGATTAGATCCCCAAAGTTCATTGGCTTCTGCTGTTCCCTCTGCTGGGTCCTGCAACTCTTGATAAATTCATGCGTACCTATCTTAGTGAATAGATCACTGAATAGCGAAAACTTTACTGTGAAGAAAAGTCACGGATACTGTTCCTGGATAATGCCAGAGAAATTTAGCTCACTATATACAGTAATATATTTTTCCCCTGGCTTTGTGACTTTGGGCTTCATGATCTGGGCCAGTGGCTCCATGGTCATTTTCTTGCACAAGCACAAGCAGAGAGTCCAGTACATTCACAGCAATAGCCTTTCCAAGCCCAGACGTTCTTATGAGGCCAGAGCCACATACACCATCCTAATCCTGACGAGCTCATTTTTTACCTTTAATTCAATCTATACCATTTTGACTGTTTGGATGACTCTGGTTGCAAATCCAGGCCAGTGGATGGTGAATAGCTCTGTGCTGGTGGCATCCTGTTTCCCAACATTCAGCCCCTTTTTGCTCATTGTCAATGACAGCAGAGTTTTTAAGTTCTGCTTTGCTTGCAGGGCAAGGTGAAATTGTTTTCCTAATGTAGTTAAGGTGCTATGAGTTCATTTTCCACCTGGCATGCAGTCAATTCATTTCAACTTTTTAAACTTTTGGTTTTCTATTACATGCTAGGAATTTGTGATGCTGTGGCCAATAATGCCAGTAATGTCTCTGACCACATGGATCTCATAGTAGAGCTAAAAATGAACATTGTGTCCTTAATAATAAAAGGCTCATTCAGGTCTCAATTCTCTCTGGATCCCTCCTGCTCCAGGCACTGAGTCATAGCTATACAATACAGCAAGTCCTGCTCTGTAGAGGACTTGTCTTCTTTCCCAGTGAAGGCACAGAGTAGGGTAAAACTCTAATAAAAACAGCATGGAGCTGAAGGAACAACCAGTGATGGCTTGAGCTTTATGTTTATTAAAGAGGTAAAGGTTGCTAAGCCAGAGGAGGTGAAGTCTCTAAGGAGACTCAGGAGGAAAGATGGAAGGAAAATGAAATCCCCAAGTTGGAGGAGGAAGAAACCTCAGAGCTAGAGGAGGTGGTGAAGTGGCCTCAGAGCTGGAAGAGGAGGAAGAAGAGGCATCACAAAAGGCAAGAATGATGGAGAAGAGACCTCAAAATTGGAGGAATGGGAAGAAGAGGTGTCAGGGCTGGAGAAGGAGGGAGAAGAGTCCTCAGGATTGGAAAAGGAGGGAACAGAGGCTTCAGGATTGGAAGACAAGGGAGAAGAAGCCGCAGGGCTGGAGGAGGACAGAGAAGTGACTTCAGTGTTATGTGGGGAAGAGGACTCAATCCTTCAGGACTGTACAAAGCAAGGAGTTGAAGAAATAACCAGTGATGGCTCAGACATTATTTTCTTGAATTGGTAGAGGATTCTGAGCAGTAGGAAAAAGGAAAGGACTCTGAAATAAGAAAGGTAAAGACTACCTTCCGGACTGAGAAAAAAGAGGCCTCATATGGACTTAAAGAAATTGCCTTTGGTTATTTGGTTTGGAAGTCTGAGAAGAAAAACTTGGCAAAACTCCAAGTGGTGCACAAACTCAGAAGGAAGGGGAAGCAGCTATGCCTGGAAGTCAATAAACTGGATCACCCTGTTTGACCTTATGTTTGGCCTCTCCCTCAAAGTCACTGGAGATAAATTATGATGAGCATAAAAAGCATTTACATGTAAATTTGAGTACTCCATCAGGAGTCACCAAACTTTTCAGGAAAACAGATAGACACACAAAACTGCAAACAAAAACTAACATCCAAAGAAGCAGACAATACAGGAAGCAGAAGAAAACTAGAGGAAGTGTGATTAATATCTTCAAAAAGATATGAGAAGAAGTTGAAAATATAAAAAATTGTCATCCAGAAGTCTTGGAAATTAAAATTTTAATGAATGATCTGAACAGCAGAATGGACATACTTGAATAAAGAATGAACAATCTAGAAGATCACTGAATTCTCAAAGGATACAATGTAAATGGCCAAACAGATAATAAAGAAAGAAAGGTTAAGAGAGATGGAGGATAGATCCAGAAGCTCCATCATCCACTTGATAGGGATTCCAGAAAAAGATAATAAAGAGAATGAAATAGAGGACCTAACTAAGGAAATACTTGAAGAAAACTTTCCAGACCTAAAGAAAGGCTTAAGTTTTGAGATTGTCAGTGTTTACCAAATACCCAGTAACACTGATGAAAACTCCTATACACATCTTGGTGAAATTTTGGAATATCAGTGATAAAGAGAAAATTATAAAGGCTTTCAGGGGGAGAAAAGAAATAACCTACAAAGGAACAGAATCATATTGGCAACAGACTTATCATTGAGCACCCCAGATGCTAGAAATAAATGGAGCAATAGCATAAAATTTCTCCAAGAAAAAGGCTTTAAACCTAGAATTTTATATCCAGCCAAATTGGCAATTGATTTTGAGGATGAAACAAACATTTTTTTGAGGATGAAACGAAGAATTAAGAAAGTTTATTTCTTGTATAATCTCTTCAAAGGAATTACTAGAGAATATACTCTAGCAATATAGGGTGACTACAAACACATACACACAACAGATTTTTTTGAGGATGAAACGAAGAATTAAGAAAGTTTATTTCTTGTATAATCTCTTCGAAGGAATTACTAGAGAATATACTCTAGCAATATAGGGTGACTACAAACACATACACACAACATGCTTTTCTCCCACCAACATACATCCAAAAATCAACAAGTAAAACTGGAAAATAAAACAACACACCTCTACCCAGAAGGATGGACAGCTAACAGCATACCTGGGATAAGGGGAAAGGAAGGTTATAGATATTACCTAGATGTTGGTAAAGTTAAAGGGTGTATTAAAAAAATGTAGTGATAACCATCCTAGTTTGTATGGGAGTAAAATTTCCATACTAGGGGGAGGGAATCTGTCAGTGTAAACGTAGGTAGGAAAAGGTGAGAGAAAAATAATAGAAAGGCACAGGGGAAAAGATGGCAAAGTAAGTTAATAGAGAAAAATGGAAAAGCTGAGCTCATCAAGAGAAGAATATTTCGTAAATTTTATCATTTATCATGGTGTGAATCTTGAATCTTTGTATTAAATCATTTTCCTTTGGGAAAAAAATATTATCCAATCTGTCTTAGGTTCAATGCAGAAATCTATGAGAATCTGAAATAGTGTGCTAAAAGAAAATTTCTAAGTTTAAGGCATTTAGGGGCATCTCTCACTTTGGGTCTTATGAAGGTGCACAGCAGTGGTTTTTGAAAAAAAAAATATGTATATATATTTTTTGCAGTTTTAAAAATACTTAAAAAACTTTTAAATGTATGCACATTTATTTGTTCAAATAAAAAATACATAAACTGAATAACAGATGAATAACAAAATATTCTGTAGAATGTAGGGCTTCAAATTTTCACAAAAACTGGAGCTGTAAAACTTATTAAAATTTACATATATCATTTTATAATCTCTACAATTATTTGAAATAGTTCTCTAAAGTCTTCCAAAAGCATGCAAATATCAAATTAATTTCAACAAAGGAAGATGAATAAATTTTTCAAAGGCAAATTATTTTCTCAGCAAATCACCAAGTCCACTTAATACAAAGCAATCAAGAACAGAAATTAAATATCTAAGTTTAGCAACATAAATTGCATTAAAAAATATCAATAAAACCGAATATAAACACAAGGGCACTTCAAAAAGTTCATGGAAGGGCCGGCCTGTGGCTCACTCGGTAGAGTGCGGTGCTGATAACACCAAGGCCACGGGTTCGGATCCCATATGGGGATGGCCGGTTCGCTCACTGACACCAAGGCCACGGGTCCGGATCCCATATGGGGATGGCCGGTTCGCTCACTGGCTGAGCGTGGTGCTGACAACACCAAGTCAAGGGTTAAGATCCCCTTACCGGTCATCGTTTAAAAAAAAAAAAAACAAAACAAACAAAAAAAAAGTTCATGGAAAAATAAAATGAAAACATAATGGAAATCTTTCCATGAACTTTTAAAAATTTGTTTAAATTTTTCCTTTTCCTTCTTTTTAAGACTAAGATAATAGAAAATATGTTCTCTGACCACAATTTTTCTAAGACTAAGATAATAGAAAATATGTTCTCTGACCACAATAACAGAAGGAAATTTAGAAAACTTACATATATGCAGAAATTAAACAACACCTCCTAAATAAACAATGGGTAAAAAGAAAAATCACAGGGAAATTAG